TCTCCCCCCAGCACGTCCCTTGAGACCCTTGTTGTGGCGTGACAGGCTGCTCCTCACTCATCTCTCCTGGTCTGCTTCCTCCTGTCCTCTCTCCCAGGTGCACCTCCAGCCACAAGACATGTCCTGCTACAACCAGTGCCTGCCATGCCTGCCCTGCCAGCCCTGCGGCCCGACCCCGCTGGCCAACAGCTGCAATGAGCCCTGTGTCAGGCAGTGCCAGGCCTCCACCGTTGTCATCGAACCTCCTCCCGTGGTGGTGACCCTGCCCGGACCCATCCTCAGCTCCTTCCCACAGAACACCGCCGTTGGATCCTCCACCTCCGCTGCCGTTGGCAGCATCCTCAGCTCTGAGGGAGTGCCCATCTCCTCCGGGGGCTTTGGCCTCTCCAGCTTCGGCAGCCGCTGCAGGAGGTGCCTCCCCTGCTAAAGCTGCTGACCATGGCCCTGGGGAAGGTCCTCAGGGACCCTCAAGATGGTACCGGAGTGGGGATGGAGCATCGGGTTGTTGCTTTCAGAGGGGCTGAGCAACCCCAACACCCCTTGCAAAAGGACGGGGCCAGCCTGGGCTCTCGGAAAGCACGGCCCATGCCTGCCTTTCCCCTCTTCCACTCTCTGCTTTCCCTCTTGTGTCCTTGTTCTCTTGTGCTGCCCTGTGCAGTGAGCCCCACAAAGACAGACTAGTGAAACCTGCTGGCCCTGCTCCATCTCTGGGGCAGGCAGAGGGACACCTGGATGGACACAGCCATGGGGCACAGCCTCTCATCCAACCTTGGTGCTCCCTGCACTGGGCCCTCCACTCAGATCAATCTCGTTTCCCTCTTTTGACTCATTAAAGTTCTGATGCATCCCAGCCCCTGCCTTTGTGTCCTCCTTCGCCCTGCAGGTGTCCTCCCAATATATTCAAGGACAGAGATGTTGATCCGTGTGGTTCTGGGATGGGGGTTTTGGGGATGGTTGCATAGTGGTTGTTAATGCAATGATTGTTAACTGTCACTGCATGGTCCTTCCCTCTGTGGACACTCCCAACACTTACAGTCAGGAAGGAGGGTGTTTCTACAGGGAAGTCAGGAGTGCATGGGGTACATGGAGAGCCTTCAACATTCCCAAAAAAGAGAAGGGTGGGACACAGTGCACTGGGCCCCCCTCAGGAACTGTCACTTGCAGGTGAGGAGGTATCCATAACTTCTTCAGAGTCCCTGGCCATCAGACCCAGCTTTTTTGAGCCTCTGCCCAGAAATGTCCTCTTGGCCTCAGTGCTCAGAAGGGGTGTGTGGCCACTCCCAAGCTTGGTTGAGAAGACTGGGCTGTTGAAGGCCCTGGGAGGGCAGCATCCTCACAAGGTCTTGAGGAGGGGAGGAAAGGGACTTCCTCTTGCTCTGGATGCCACTGTGATGGAGGGGAAAGGCTCTGGTAGAAAATGGTCCCAGAAAACAGCAGGAGTGAGAATGAGGTGAACAGGTTCACCATGCACATCGTCCTCCTACTTCCCCCTATGGTGTGGGTTTCCTGGGGAAAGTTTCTGGAGAGACACTGAGGGGAAGGAGTGAGGCAGGGGGTTGTGGCAAATCATTCTTTAATGATAGTCCAGAAGCTCTCCAAAGCAGTGCTGTCTCCAGCAGGAAAGACTGCACAGAGGGTTGCAGCTGAGGAAGGGGAGCTGCTGAACTGCCTCAGGACATTCCCAAGCATGATGATGCAGGAACTCCCAGAGCCCTACTCGGCAGTTGGCTTGGTAGTGGAGACACTGCCAAATTCCTCCACACACATCTTCCAGCCCCTTGCAAGCAATGCTCAAATGCAAGTCAGGAAAATGTATTCTGCTGGAGAATTCCATCAATATAAACATGTTCCCCACTGCAGAGATCTTCCCACTGTGGGCAAGGTCTACTGTGGGGGCAGGTGCTAATCAGTCTGAGGGAACAGACACAAGTGGCTCAGCTTCCTTGCCAAAGAGGTTGGACGTGTTCGTGACCTCTCTTGAATTCACAACACATACCCCTGAATTTCGGAGAGTCTTTTCACTATCCCCATGGTTGAAGAGCAGCACATAGTATTCAGGAGTTAAAGGCTTATCAGGACAGACTGTCAGCAAGCAAGTGAGGAGCTGCTTTCCCTTCTGCTTGACAGTTCTTCAAGAAAAAGGAGATGAAGATCAAATATGGAAACAAGAAAGGAGAAGGTAAGGCAAGATGCATTGCTGCTCAGGGTGAGTTTTGCAGTGTCATGTGTGCTCTGTCACTGAGTGACCTGTGACAGCGAAGAGATAGTTTCCTGTCAGAAGTTCTCGCAGTCGCCTTGAGAAGGGAGCGTAGCCCATCCTTGTGTCAGCAATGGCTGCTTTAGATTCTGCAGCCCAACAGCCAGCTCAGGACAAGCATAGAATCATAGAATCGTTCTGGTTGGAAGCGACCTTCCAGATCATCAAGGCCAGCCGTTAACCTGGCACTGCCAAGTTACCACTAGCATCCAAGACACATGTCAATCATTCCCTGATGGGGGAACATTTTGGAAATGGGGATAAAAAGGGTCACTGCTGTGTGTAAACCTTTGGGTTTACATAATGGTCAGAATTGTTTTATGATCTGCATTAGGGCAGATGAGAAATACACCACTGCAAGATAAAGTATGCAGGGACACATCTCAATCCTTTGGCAGATTTAGTCCATCTCAGGCTCCTGGAAACAGTTAAGATTTTACATATTTTTGCAAATAAAAGGCCAAGAAGATGCAAGCTTCTCTGTGCTTGAAAATGTCTGTTGTTAATGTTTCCATTCAAAAGAAGCCTACACTGTACTCCTGATCTACTGTTATCATTGTATAAACACACCGTCTCTTGTACCTTAAGATGATTCTGCTGTTGCTACTACCAGAGAGCACTGGTAAGTCTTCAGTTACCTCCTGGAATTAAATTAGGCAGGGCAGGACCTACTGCCAGAAAACCTTGTCCAGTAACCTCTAACTGAAACACTCGGAAACCCTCTAGTGATCTTCTTTCCCTCAAGGAAATCACGGAACTGAAGGTCAGTTCCTTCTGCTGACATCCATATGAGTCTCCTCATATGAAGTCAGTTCCAAGAAAGGGCTATTGTCTTGAGGAGATGTAGGCTGTGAGCATATGTTGTCCAGGGAGGATAGAGGTAGAGGCAGAATAATGGAGCAGAAGAGAATGTTTTCAGCTCTAGAGAAAATTGTTCCCTAAATCGCATTTAGAGTGAGAAAATTAAAAAAGTTGTTTTCTTTGCAGAAAAACTACCTAGGTTCTAAATCAGAAGCCAACCACCCTCCCACCCCTTGCCTGTCTCACTACGGAGAAAACGTGTTCAGCTGCAACAGGAATTCACTTTAGATGGAGTGGAGATGCACAGGAGGACATACCAATGCAAAGCAAGTTTTCTAAGAAAATGCTGGCCATGATGCTGGCCAGGCTTCTATGTTCATGCAGCATATGGCAGAGCAGTGATCATGAATATCACTGTCATGGATATAATCGTCACGGCATGATGAATGCCAGAACTATGCAGTAAAAATATTCAGTGTATGTGACTTGCCCAGCAGCACAAGCACAAGATGACTTTTTCTGTAGGCTCTGTAATCTCTTGGTTTGCCCTCTATCCTGAACTACTTCTACCTGACCAGAGTAGCAGTGTCCCCTAACTTGGCACCTTCAGCAGATTTGCTGATGTCAGACAGCAGGGTAGAGGAGGATTTTTCTCAACCAAATGGAAGACGAAAAGGCATCTCAGCAATGCAAGCCCAGAGGGGACAGTCAGCCAGAAAGTAAACAATGGCTTCAGCGGGCCTTAGGCACATCAGCACAGCCGTGACTCACCTTCAGCAGGGACTCTGGATCCTTCAGCTCTAGGGGATGCTTATCAGGGTCTGACAGCACTGGGAAGAGACAGCGGCAGGAGACTTTCCAGTGCCCAAGAGGAGCCAGGATTGGTTGAAATTCTCCCTCCAGGATTGCAAATTCAGATACACAGGAGGAGAAGAGAGCTAGGGGCACCCCACTGGGATCCTGGGAGAACAACCACTTGCTTGGGGCAGTGATGAGACCCTTTGCTTGTCCAGGCCTCCTGGAGAGATTTCATACTGCCTCTGGGGAGGGTTCGTTGCATCAGAGTGGGCAGCATAAGGTGGGCAGAGTCTCAGCCTAACAGCAGGCCTTTCCATGGATATGTCTGCAATCCATGGGTCCTAAATTCACCTGAACTAGCTGCAAATGTCTCTCTGAGAGAGGCTTTCCAGCTCAGAGCCCCGCTGGAACCAGTAAAAGGTCATGGCAGAGATGCAGCTCTGGAAGTTAAATTGCTCCAGAAGTGCTTCGCGGGCAGTATCAAAGTCTGCGTGGTGGATGGGAACAGATGAGGTCCATGCAGCCAAGTCGTGATGCTCTTAGCCTGTTTTTACCAGGAAACTTTGCAATGGAGCAACGCACTGGAGTCCATGCTGAGCTCCAAAGCGCAGCAAACTCTTATCAGACGTTAGTTGCCTCTTCTTGCCCTGGAAAAAGCAGGGACTGGAGGGAGAAGCTAAAACCATGCTGCAGTGGAAAACACATCTCTTCCTCCAGACATTCAGGTTTCCTTCCCTCACCCCCTAAAGGCACTACGTAACATCAGGACAGGGATCCCCTCACAGAGCAGAGCACATCCATCTTCCACACACATCCTCCTGTGTGTCCCACTCCACGGCAGCACAGGCAGGCCTGACACCTGCGCGTGAACACAGTCCGCACGAGCCAGTGCTCAAGCAGACGCTGTGCTCTAACCACAGGGCTGCACTCCCACCCTGCAGCTGAAGGGACCTGGGTGATGGTGATGTAGGGCATCCTGACCTAAGAAGTTAGCTTATGTTAGGATTGTCAACGTTAGCCTTAATTAACTAGTAATGAACAGAACAATGTGTTGTTTGAAGTCCCTCTAGCCTTAATTAACTAGTAATGAACAGAACGCTGTGTTGTTCGAAGTCCTTATTTTCTGGACCTTGACATCTGGGATTGATTGTATATAGGAAGAATTAAATAACAACCTGGCAAGAGGAGAATCCAGTTGGCCAACCTGGCAACAGAACCTGGCAACCTTTTAAGGTATCCTGAAGTGAACTGCCTTCATTATAATACTAAAAAACACACCCACAGGTCAGGAAGACCCTTGCCCAGGTGAAGACCCTTCCCCCGCACATGCATGACGATTAAAAGAATGACATAGCAGATATTATATGTAAATTACTAACCAATCATTGTAACTGGGAGTGTACTACCTTGTAACTTTTGTGTATAAATATAGCAAGAAGACCGGCATGGGGTGTGCTTGATTTGCGGAAAATCCACCGAGCGCCCAGGCCTGAATAAATACCGTGTATCTCTCCTGAGCGTGTGAGATTGGTTAACTGTGTGCTGGGCATGAATCCGCTTTTTGGACAACAATGGTTTGCAAGAATCCAGGCCCCTGCATCACCAGCCTTCTGCTTCCAAAAAGTACCTCTCCATTCATTTCCACATGCATTGAACATTTATATTTTGGTTGCAAAATGAGGCAATCATGAGGCAAAAGCGAGTGGTTTTGGAACCAGTAATGTGGGGAGAGGAAGCAGCACGGATCTCTGATTTCATTTCACAGGAAAACCTCAGTTTTTTTCCTCCCGTGTTGCATGGGCCCAAGAGCAGAGTGTAAAAACGTGGCCTTTGTTCAAAGCTTTCTCTTTGCTCTGAGCCTTCGAGGTAGGAGACCTGTGGGAGCAGAAATCAAACAGGAAAGCCAAATCGCCTTGCTCCATACATCTGGAAACAGCCCGGCAGGACAGGCCGCCCACCGGAGCTGCACAGCGCACGGCTCCACCAGACCCTCAGCCACAGCCTCCTGCGGGACTTCCAGGGCAGGGACACGACTCTCCCTATCTTGGTGTAATAAGGAATTTAGCAAAAGAATTTTGCTGCAGCTAAAATGGATGTGTGGTTGCTATGGCTTCAGCTAAGATGGGTGTGTGCTTGCAATGCGTTTGGAAAAGGGATAGTGTTAGACAGGGTATCAGACAAAAGCAACAGTTGTAAGTACCAAACCATTGCAAAACAAAGGGTGGTGTAGTTAGCTAAGATAACCACAGAAGTGTGAAGAATAAAGAAGCAACAAGAAGGATGTAGTGATAAAGACTTTGAGCCTCCCTCTGATGACCACCAGGAAGACCCCTGAGGAAGCGTATCACCTGCGCCGCTAGAAGGGAGGGGGCATGCTCGGGGGTGGGCTGCATTCCTAGAACTCATTGACTATGTAATTGGGGGTGGGTTGTGTTCTGAAAACTCATTGGTTATGCAAATCATTTTCGAAGACGAAATATGAATAAGAAAAACAAAATAAAAACAAGCGTCTGTAGAAGAAAAACGAGCCACAGGAGGAGAAACCCCCTGTGTAACTCCCAGTGCTGTAATAAATGTTCTTTGCTCCACCAAATTTGCCCCTGAATAAAATTCAATACCGTGAGTGTGTTCCTCACATTGGGAAGGGGGCTGGAGTTTTCAGTCCCCATTTGGGCGCTGGTGGCCAGGCGGACCCTTCCGCCACGCCGGCCCTGCTGGGAGGAAAC